ACGAAAGCGTTCAAATGAAGAAATCGAGGAGGCCATAAGGCGCGTCCCGCAATTTAAGCGGCAGACTTTGAGATCCTTGGCGGCAGCGACCAACATTCCACAGGCAGCAATTCTCGATCACATCAAGGAATACAGTATGGACGTTTTAAAGCACGGTCCAACTACATCAAGTCAATGCTGACGGAGAAGAACAAGGAAAACCACATGAAGTTTGCACTGAGCTTTCTCTCGCCTTGGTCACAAGGAAACCACGTCTTAAAAAACATGTACGATTTCGTTCATGTCGATGAAAAATGGTTCTTTATGACCAAGGTGAAGAGAAAGTTCTATGTGTATGAAGACGAGGAAATGGCACTGCGGTCAGCGAAGCACAAGAATCAGATCATGAAGGTTATGTTCTTTGCGGCTGTTGCAAGGCCTCGCTACGATTACAAGTCAAGGCGTTTTTTTGACGGCAAGTTGGGCATATGACCCATTGTGGAGGACATCGTCGCTCAAAGGTGCAGCAAAAACCGTCCAAAAGGTACGGTCTCTGGGGCTCCTTTGAGCGTCGATGGTCCTGTGTACACGAATTTTATCATGTACAAAGTCGTTCCAGCCATCGTGACCAAATTCCCCCGCTCGTACCATGCGAAGACGGTTTTCCTCCAGTAGGACAACGCCTGCCCTCACCGTTGCATCACATCCGAGTACATACGCTCGAAAGGCTATCAGTATATTGAAGTCGCCAATCAACCAGCAAATAGTCCAGACTTCAACGTTTTGGAGTTAGGATACTTCAATTCTATTCAAAGTCTGCAGCAGCAAAATCGAACTCGATCAGTCGAGGAGCTCATAGCTGCTGTTGAAGCCTCGTTTTTTCAGTTGTCGCCGAGAAATCTGCCGAAAACTTTTATCACATTGCAAACGGCTTTGAGAAGTTCCTTGGAGGTGTTCGGGAATAACAATTATAAGCTCGTGCATATGAAACATGACTTCACCATTGCCCGTTCAATGCGGCCAAACCAGCAATCAATGTGGTTCCGAAGTTTTAATTTCTTCGAACGTCGAAGTACACCTGGAATCTATTTCATTCAAAGTGGTTTAATCTGCAATCAATGTGGCCAACCTGTAAATTGTATACGATCGAGCATGTATTGACAAAGGTTTGCTTTTGGTGGGCTCGCCAAACTCACGCGACTCAATTACCCACACACAATTAAAAGATGCCAACAGAAGCCGAGACAACTTGTGTCTTGGTATCCCAAGACGTTCAGGTACGATATCGTGTTGCAATGGGGACGGCAGGTCCACGGGCATGGGTGGTGCACATAATGCGTGTGTACTACCACACGTTGTGTGGATTCGAACGGTTGACAACGAGATCACTAGGGCTGCATGACGAGCCCATTCTACGTGCGGGATCTCATCTCGCGACGACGCTTTAAGTATGTCAAAGATGCGACCGCCCTGTCGGACGGATCGAAAACTGGATTGATAGTCCTCTTGAGCTCGCACGCCCGGCCCATGTCGAAGCAGTACGTGTCGACGTCATGCATGGACCTGATGGCGCGCCCGCCAAAAGCAAGCCTTTTTCAATACATACTCGATCGTATTACAATTTAATGGTTGGCCACATTGATTGCAGATTAAACCACTTTGAATGAAATAGATTCCAGGTGTACTTCGACGTTCGAAGAAATTAAAACTTCGAAATCGCATTGATTGCTGGTTTGGCCACATTGAACGGGCAATGGTGTAGACAATCGAAGACTTGGCACTGTTCAACCTGGAATGTGAGGACACTATCGTTGACAATGCCGTGATCAAATTGAATTATCCAAATCAAGTAGATGTAGATATACTTAGCCGTCCACGACAAACCCACACGACAATGGTACGATTGGATAAAAGTGTCTACTCTGTGTGCTCACTGATTGGCAAATAACATTGATTTACGTGGACTGCACTTTCAACAAAGGACCAAGAACACGACGTGCCATTATAGTCGTCCTTCGCGCTTTCGCTTGCGAACTTCGCTCAAGGTATTGCTGTAAGAGCTCGTATGTCCCTCGTAAGCAGACTCAAACATATCATAGCTAACGTACTTTACAAAGGCGTGAGAGAGCGTCAAGCGCTCCGAGTACTTGCGCCGGTCGGCGCGGATCATTTGTTTCGTGAAGGACCGCAAAGGCTGGAACAGTCCCAGCTTTGCGTCCCCGGTAAACCATTGATCCCAGGCTTATCTTGTTGATCGTGCTGTAAGTATCGTCGCATGCGACACAAACGCGTCGAGGGTTGTTTGGCGTTGGGCTTCGTGGTCGAAGGTGTCGGTGACACACGAACGGACTCAGCGTCCCTCACAGGGCCGGCAACAGGTAACTTGGTTGCGACGCCACGCAGTCCACTCACGATCGCATCACACAGTTCTTGCACATTCACTCCGGTCGAGGTGGCTGCATGGTTGACAGCGTCGACACGCAACAGGTTTCGAGGGTCGATTTCGTTGGTAATGCTTCTGGTAATGAGATATTCACAACAAGTCTTAGCATCTTCCCATCTACACTATGCTATGAGTTCCCTAAAATTAAAGCGCCGCTCGGGGGACTCAAAGACGCGATAGAAGCTTCCTCCTCGGCGCATGCTGTGTAGCGTTATTTCTAAAATATTTCGATCGGTCACAGAAGAATTATTGGAATATTTGACCAACAAATTTCTGACATTGAAATAACACTATAATCAAAACAAATACAAGGAACACAGTAAAAATAATGCACCAGACAAATTACCTGTAGGGAGCTCGGGAGACTTTTGAACTGCGTCTTTCAGGTACAAGCGAACCTGGTTTTGATCCACTGGCTTGAACCAGTTGAGTTTTGGCTTTCCCGATGGCTCCATTGTGTACGCAGGAAACACAACCGACTTGGAAGCGAGGCTTGGACTGGCACGTTGGACTAGACTGAGGTAGTCGCTGAACAGACCGCACAACACGCAGACAAGGGAACGACTTCTCATCAACGAGATGGTAGATTTGGCAATCGCTCTGAACACTCGCCTTCTTGTGTCATAGTAGCTGAATCGGGGCATGCTGACTCTCTCCATCATGCAGCAATGCAATGTCGTCCCAGGTGAGGTTTAGCGTTTCGCTAATGCGAAAGCAGCCAAGATAGCTGGCACAAATCAAAAAGCCATACATCCCACCCACAAACATTCGAGAGGTAGAAAAAGCATTCAATAAACATGAAAGCTCGTACACTGACA